TTGTATGGCCAATCCATGACTAGCACAGAAGTCCAGTAACAAACCACCACTCCGGTTCAGATCAGGGGGGCCGTTCCTCCCAATCACTCCCCTCCAAGTGTCTCCATCATTGCCCACATGTGCGTTGAAGTCTCCCAGCAAGATTAAAGAGCCCCCTTCAGGAGCCCCATACAGGACTCTTTCCAGGGTCTCCAAGAAGGCTGTATACTCTGAACTGCTGTTGGGTGCATAAGCACACACAACCGTCAGAGTTTTCCACCCCATAACCCGCAGGCGTAGGGAGGCGACCCTCTCGTCCACTGGGGTAGACTCCAACAACGAAGCACCCAACCGGGGACTTGTGAGTATCCCCACACCCGCCCGGCGCCTCACACCTTGAGCAACTCCGGAGAAGAATAGAGTCCAACCCCTATCCGGAAGTAAGGTTCCAGAGCCGACGCTGTGCGTAGAGGTGAGCCCAACCAGATCCAACTGGTAACGCTCCACCTCCCGCACAAGCTCCGACTCCTTCCCCCCCAGAGAGGTGACGTTCCACGTCCCCAAAGCCAGCTTCTGTCGCCCGGGTCTGGTCCGTCGAGACCCTCTGCCTTCACTGCCACCCTTCTGGCAGCGCACCCGACCCCATCGCTGTTTCCCGTAGGTGGTGGGCCCGCGGGACGGAGAAGCGGAGATGTTGCCCACGTCGCCTTTTCGGGCTGTGCCCGGCCGGGCTCCATGGCAAGCCCGGCCACCAGACGCTCGCCGACGAGTCCTCCTTCTGGGCCTGGCTCCAGAAGGGGACCCCGGGCTTCCTCCGGGCCGGGTATCCTCACTTCGTGTGTCGTCTTTCATGAGGTCTTGTGAAACAATCTTAGTCTGGCCCCTTACCTGAGACCAATTTGCCATGGGAGACCCTACCAGGAACACAAGGTTCCAGACAACACAGCCCCCAGGTTCATCAGGGCACACAAACCTCTCTACCACGGTAAGGTGCTGGTTCTTCAGAGAATATTTGTTGTATGTTTTACATATTTAACATTCTTTCTGGAGGTTTCAATAAGTTCAATATTGGAGCAGTGTGAAGAGTCGTACTGCGTGGAGTTGATCAGAGCACAGGGCTCTGATGGAGCAACAGAACACTGCTAGGGTCTCCTAACATTGAAAGGTGGAACAGCAAGAGGCCCTGGGCGTCACTCTCACTCCTCCATAAGATGAAGCTTCCCCCAACAACTCTAAACAAGCATAGCAGCCATTCAGCATCACAGTAACAAGAACATGGAGGAACAGAGAACATGTATCACATGACCCTCGAAGAAGAGACACTCAATATTCAGAATACAGTGTTTGTGGTTCAGGAGTCAATGATGAGTCTGTCTGTGCAAACAGGTCAGGCTGTTATTCTGTTACATTCAGAGACAATGAGAGTACATGAACATACAGCAAAGTTACAAGCAACCTTTAACATTTCAATTCAGCTCTACACATACTGCACTCATGTTTACATATTTACATCAGCTAAAGTTGGATCCATAAGCTTCTTGTCAGTAAAATATCCACGCATGTCATCAGCATAAAAATACATCTGTAATTTGAAGTCTACCTAAATAGAGCTGTACATCAAATAATTAGAAAACCGGTCTAATTTCACATTGTTAGAATATTTTAAAAAGTTCAGGCACGATTCACACATCTTTCCAAAAGGGTGCATCCTTCCACCAGGTCACATGATCCTTTGTCAAATGGCTCATGCTGTGAAGTTGAGAGATACCACATGTAGGCGTTTGGAGCTACTATGGCGAAGACATTTTGAGACACATGCAAACCACCAGAGAGGAGGGCACGGTCCCCCCCTGCTGTTCAGACCCCTCTGCCTGCTCCAGACCCCGGAGACAGTGTAAACCTCAGGTGGGTCAGAGACTCAATATGGCAATGATGATTCATTCATAGAAAACCCAGAGAAACTTGATGAAACAAGACAATCATTCATCTGAACAAAAACAACTCATTTCTTATGCAACAAGACAGGATGAAGAAGGCAACCGAACGGTCCCGGAGTTTAACAGCAGGTTATAAATAGCATAAGCAAATCCTGCATACTTATACAGTTACAGAACTAATATAGAAAATTAACTAGTAACATGACAAATTATGACCCATACAAAGGAATTAAACACAGGAGAAATTGAACATAGATTGTGAGCTACTGTTGGAGCTACCTGAAAGCAATGCATAACAGTCATCCCCCCCACTGTGTATCCATGATCAAAATGGCTACCAGAACTAAATGAAAGAAGCCTTAAATGAAAGTATGTCTCCTCTGGACTGCACCCCCCCCATCCTCTGAGCTGGTAGAGGTACTTTGCCAAAAAGAGCTTTAAGATGAATGACATAAAGGAAACCTCTAGAAGAAGAAGCTTCCTTAGAGTACAATCAGTGTGTAGGCACAGGGTAAAGCCGCCATATACAATCCATATTGTACCGATTATGGAACTAGCCAGAGATATACAGGGGGGGGGGTTGTTGTCAGTGTTTTTGCCAAGCAGGAAGATTAAAGATAACTCTGAGTGCTGCACAGCCCCCCCCCAAAGCCCCTGCAATGGAAACATGCTCTTCACAGAGCTGCAAACATTCCACTGGGTGAAATGGCTTTGGTGTAAGAATCGGGCTTCTGAGGGAGAGCAGTTTCAGCGATACCTCTCCCTGAACAAGCCTTCGCTGAGTCAGTACAGATTCTTCCTTTAGCTGCCTCTAACCCCTCTTCCAACCCCCAGAAGCTGACAGCTACCTATTCTTCTTCAAAGAAAAATCCTGCTTGTAGACATTTGAATAGGCCTAACTAGGAAAAATAAATGACAAAAAGCAAATCACAGATGCCAAGGTAGAAAAGAAATTGAGATGTTTTCAGGTGACAGAGAAATATAACTTACACTGCAGTTTGACTGCTTATCTTGCAATCAAAGGTTACATAGGAAGGAAAAGGAGAGGGGGAAGAGGAAGACTGGAAGGACTGAAAACAGACGGAGGGGTTCTGCAGCGAAGCTTCATCCAATGCATAGCTTAGTTTCAGGCAGTCAGGCGAGCAGGCAGACCAGGTGGAGTGAGTTTGGATGCGTTGGAGCTCAAAGACTGCAGCAGTACAGCCGGCACCGGGGAGGGGGGGGCGGGGCTAACGGAAACCAACAGGAACAGGGTTTGTGCTCCTGCTTCTCTAACTCGTCCAAAAGTTGTTAATCTGAGCGTTGTACAAGTGAGATAGATCCATGCCCTCTGTTTTAGGAAATGCTAGACATCAACATTCAGATGGCTGTGGCCTCCAGTGGTTCTGTCTGTTTCCTGGGTAAAACGGGTCCATCTGATCCTCCAGGCAAAGCAGGGCCAAAGACGGACAGTGAGGGCCTTGAGGTCAAGAACCGTTCATCATCCACAGCCAGTGTTTCTTCATTGATTCGTCCCCCCACCCACCACCCGTCGCCTGGATCCTTATCTCATGCTGGAGGACGCTCTGAAGTAGGAGAGGAACTTGAAGCAGAGGCTCACCACAAAGTACCAGATGTTCCTGGCCATCTGGGATCGGGCGATGAAGACGCGCCAGAAGAGCACAACCAGGACGGTGTTGAAGGTGTAGCGGATGTTCCTCAGCCTGGGTAGAAAACACAATTGAGACGATTCATGGACTTCAAAAAGGAGGACTCCTATTTGAGGTTTGCTATGGTAAAGATAGGAAGTGTCTAAAGTCACTCAAACAAGAATCATATCCACAGATCAGCACCATTTACACAGATATTTAGCTTCTTTTAATTCATTGAAAGTCTGCATGCTGAACTATTCACAAGAGCTTTGTGAAGGCTGAGAGGAGAGCTGTCACTCCGCATTCCAAAGGATCATCTGAACAACTATTTGACAGAAAAGTAATTTCTTACTGAAGAGACATCAGTTGTTAATGGAAAGATGCAAAGCAGATGAGAATGGAAACAATGTGCAGAGACGCATGGAGTTTACTGTGACCTAGATGAGCGCTCCAGTTTGTCTCGTGTCTGTCTTACTTGTTGAGGTGTTTGCGTGCAGCAGGCAGGCCCGACAGCTCTTCATTGAGGACATATTTCTTGGTGCCCATACAGTAACTCTCCATGTATTCTGCCCAGTGCAGCTGACGCACATCAAAATTGAAAACCTAGAAAAATCAAAATGCAAGAAACATTCAGTTAAAATCAAGACTTTGCAGTGACTGACAAAAGATGCAGTCTACAACAATAAGCACATCATCCGTAGATGGAATGAATTACCACATATTCTTGATTGTTTATTTTGGCTGGTACTTTAAATATTTGACGTTTTTTTTACAGTGTAGAAAACAAAAACGAGAGAAACTCAGGGATTCTAGCCTTTGCAGAGCATTTACATGTACACAAACCTATAGCACACACTACAGGAAAGGAAAACACCGCAAAAGCTAATTAGGGCCTCTTTAAATATAAAACACAGATGTACTGAGATGACACAGCTCTATGGAGCAACAATTAGGAATAGCATTGATTTAGGATTAGTGCTAATGTGAGCATTCCAACAGTCTCACAGTGACAACTTCATCATGCTGATGCTTAGCACAATGTATCATGTTTACAATCTAAGCTTAGCCTGATGGCATGACCCATCCTACCTTCCCACATATAACAATGGTTCAGAAAACATTTGGAGACACTACTGGTCCTATTCTACTGAACTTATACCGACATTTAAGGTAACATATCAACAAAGAGGGAAAGGGAAGAGTTGCATATTTCAGGGTTGAAGGCTGCAGCACTGAAGTCCAGCTGGCATTTGTCTAATTTAACCCCCAGTGGTCTCCCCCACGCAGTCACACAGGATCATTAGCTCAGAGGAGAGGACCGTGGTTTGGATCAGAGAGCAGTGAAGTGGCGGTAATGTTGGCAGCCTTTCAGTCTCAGGTTGTGACTCTTCAAACTGCCTTTCAAATTGTTTTTCGACACTTTCAACACTATTGTGGAATTACTAATGAAATAAACTATTTTATAGTATTTTTTCAGATATGCTTCCGTCAAGATAATTACTTCGAGTGTCTCTTCATGCAATTCTAATGTGTGAAAATGACAGCACACCAACATCCCCTCCACACACACACATTCCTGCAGACAGCCCTCTGAAAGCCTCTCTGTTCCCCACACTGACGTCAGCACTAGATGAATGGCTCTCTATTGCAGTCAGCCTACTGTCAGACTGTAACACACCGAGTGGTGAATCTCCTCAGTGTTTTAGCCCTGTGTGGCGGAGCGTACATGGGCAACAGATAAACACAAACCCATCATCTGTGTCCTCCCACCTTCTTATCCTCTTGGCTCATTTGGCCAATCAGCATGGTGACGTTCTCGTTGCTCCACACCCAGGAGTGACTGGTGAAATACTCCAACACCATCATGGCTTTGTGGAGGCGCGTGATTGTCTTCATCATCCTATGATAAACCAGCGGTGAAAGCAAGACAGAAAAAAAGGAAAGAAGCAATAATATGGAGGAAGGTGAAAAAGATATGAAGGGATAAAGGTGGTTGTAGTGCAGAGCCAGAGAGAAGATGAAGAACAAACCATAGAAGAAGGGCGGTGCAGAGAGAAGCAGCAAGGAGAGGTAAAGGAAATAAAAGAGAGGTGGTGGGATGCAGGGAACATGGGAGGAGTGGAGGAATCAGGAATGAAGAGCCGGACGGGGGCCATGGTGTTGGAGGAGAGAGCAGAGGCAGAAGGTTAGCAAAAACACGACAAAGATTAACACCAGGTAGAGTAATACAAAAGTAACTTTGTGGCAAAGTTCTTTTATAAAAAACAAGTTTGAATTCAGTCTGAAATGGATTATTTGATACCCTGAGATGTGCACAGATTTTTCACAAGGCGTGAACAAATTACAAAAATCTAGTAAAGTTCCAATTGTACAGGTGGTAATATGAGCTGTACCGTGCTATGTGTCTGTGCCCCTCTTCACCTTAAATGATTTCAACTGCAAAACTAATAATACATATATATGTAGTGTAAAAGTTTGTTTTACAGGTATGGTTTAGAAATGTTCAAAATACATAATTATTCTCTTTACACATTTTTAACATGGTCAAGAGGGGGTACACACATTGTGACAGCACTACAAGTGTGAGTGAGAGCCCTGATCACTAAATGGATTCACTCTGCAGGTCAGGAGGACACAGGACACCGTTAAATGGACCAATAAACATATTTCAGGTCAGATGGACTTAATATGGATTTAAATGGGATTTGGTACCAAGGGACAGACAGTGCCCTCCTCTGAATCCAGTTAACATCTTTCAGTTTATGTTAGTTGAGATGTTAGTGATGATTATTCAAAACTAGTAACCAGCTTTCTGGTAATCAGGGTGGAAATATAAAACCGCTGTGCCCATTAGGGTTAGGATTAAAGGAGGGTTTCTGGGTCTCAAACTGCACAGTTTTTGTAATTAATTGAAACGTAAAAAACTCCAAGTCTACATTTTACCAGAATGTAAATTGCATGGTTGCAACTATTTAAATGTATAATGAATAAAAAGGCCCTTAGCCAATAGGCCCGTCATTCTGAATGAACATTTACAGTAATGCAGGCGGATTGAGACTCAGATTCCTCCTGTCCTCATTCAGAGGATGAACATGCACGACTGATCAGCACACAGAGGCAGAGACAATACTGACAGAACAGCTGCTGACATTCCCAATCACATCACAGCCTAGTAATGTGAGTTAGCTATTAAGCCAAATGAGTTTCAGACAGTCAAACACTAAGTGAGAGCGGATTAACACGCTAACTGCTTGGCTTGCATTTACTGTCTGAAATACCTGTGGCTTGTAGTGAAGAAAGAACATAAATGTGGACATCGATCGGTTAACATGCATAGGGGTCGTGTTCAGCGGGACATGAAGTGTCCCCGACTGGACACAATTTTGTCAAGTCCCAGGATGCCTCAGGATTTCCATGATTGGGTAAGAAGTGGGGGATGGTAATAATGGATGTCATGTTCACAGCATGGCTTGTTTACAAAAAGTCTTAAAAAAGCATTCCCAACAACAGAGCAAAGCTGAAAACATGCTCTGATAGAAGCCACATCTTGTCGTCATGACAACCTGTCTTCACATACAAGTGCAGCTGATGCCATGGGGTCGATTAAAGACAGAGCCAAAGTTGGTCCCTGCTGCTTGGATCCTTCCCTGTTCCCTCCATCCCACAGAACCAGTCAGTTAAGAAAACAGACAAACAGTAAGGGAGGGGTGGGGGGGGGGGGGCTGACTGGCAGGTGGGAATGTGCAGGGTGGGGGTGCCGTTGCAACCTTACCGGGGCTTGCGGCCTGTCAGCCTGAGACAGCAGTCATAGAGCAGGGCGGGCAGCGTGTGGCTGAGCGCCGTCCAGCACTGATTAGTAAAGGGGTTGGAGCGCAGATTGACATTGGGCCTTCTGAAGGCCTGCTCTAAGGGATTGGTCTTGAAGTTCATGTTTATACAGTACTCTGTAGAGAGAGACATATGACAGGACAAGGAGGACAGAGAGGACGAGATGAAGGTAAGGCTTGTTTCCTCCTCTTCTGATAAAAGCACAATGCAGCCCTTAGTGAGGGCTTGACCCCTGCTGTCATTGTAACAGAATGATATCTGAATGGCTCCAGACATTTACATATCTGGATTTTAACATTATTTGGAAAATGGCAACTTGGGTTGGGTTCCCAAAAGCATGTTCATTCTGAAGTCCAACATAGTCCATGATGAGCTGGATTAAGATGCCCTCAGTGCTGACAGTTTGGGAACCCAACTGAGGATATCCACATTGTAAATAGCAAGCTGTAAAGAGTGCAGAACCCAGCAGTGACTATGGTGTGAGAGCAGCTGGGTTATACACTCTTCAACTGCCAACACAACTGCACACAAGCATCATGTAACACATTAGCATTGCAGTTAGGCTACTACACTACAGGAAAGTGACAGACTAAAGCAGCAGAGGTGTGTGGGCGTGTGAGGGGCGTTTGGCATTAAACAGCAGAGGCGAGACACGTCCAAGTCGGCGATGATGAGGTTACCTGGGCTCTCGTCCAATCAGCCTGAGGTACAGATCATAGAGGAAGGCCGGAGCCTTGTGGCTCACGGCGATCCAGTACTGATTGATAAGGTGATTGGATGTTAGATTAACATTGGGCCGACGGAAGGCCTGCTCAAGGGGGTTCCTCTTGAATGTGGATATTACATGGTACTCTAAGAAACACAAGGTGGTTCAACACATCATCAAATCAGCAGTTACACACATGTTTATTTGCCTGACTGGAAGCTTCAGCACTGCTTCCCCAATCATTATATAGCTCACATCTGATAAGCTTATGTTTGACTCCACAGATAAGCCAAATGCTAGCATATCATGACCATTATTGTGTAGTTCACAGGACATCAGCTAAATAAACAGCAATCCAATATAAAACCACCAGATTTAACAAACTATTAAATTCATCTAATAATCCTCTGATGCTGCGCACATATAGTACTCGAGGTGCACAAAGGTATTCATTATTGGCAAAACAATTCCACCAACTGATAACATGTGTTCAGCAGCAGCAGACGGAGTCCAGGGTCATTGAAATGTAGTTTAGTCAGCTACTGTACCCATGGTGCTTAGGCAGACCTGCTGTGGGATTTGATAGTAACCTCCTGAACAGCTACTCAAATTGACCTTGTGGTCAACTATAGTTTATTCCATTTCTTCCAACCACTGAAGTCAACATTGTATATAAAAACCGATGTGCACATCTGGAGGCTGAAGGAACACAGCAGAAGAGTTCAACTTTGAATCAATAGACTGTGTAGGCAGTAGTTATGCACTTTTCAGACAGAATGTGTTCTCATTCTGAACCCAACATCATCTCTCAGACTTTAACTCTTCCTGTTGCCACTCCGAAGGATGCATCCATTAATGCGTATCCTAAATGAGGTAAACACAACATCACTGTGTACACGGCTGAAGGAGAGAAGTTATGGCTGCACTTTATAGTAAACCCTAAAACTAAAAGATAAATAAACTCAGTTCAGGTGTGATTATCAAATCTATGAATGTAGAATGACTAAATGGCATTGTGAATAATCACCTACTATCTGTTTCTTCTGTGGGTAGGATCCACATGATGACCCAGCTATAAAGCAAGATCCATAGGGTACGACTGAACCAAAGCTCTCAGTCTGGGTGTGCCAGACAGTGGATCATATTACAACCAGAGTATGTCATTACAAGTAAGGCCTTTACAGAGGCTGTGTTAAGCAGAGAGAAAGAGGAATCATACCAACTTCCCCCCAGCGGAACGGGTTGATCCCTCCGGTGGTGCAGTTGTACACCATGATGTTTTTAGACCTGTGATATGGAGGTAATAGTTCAGGGAATAGTTGAATTTGACTGTTAAAAGTACATTAACATTTAATTCCAACTTATCCAGAAGATGTGAGACAAGTGTCTCTCCAACCTTTTGAGTGTCTGAGATCCAGAGTACCAGGCGAGCAGCCAGTGTGGCGTTGATGACCACGTCCACCGGCACCAGGTCCGCCACCGCATCATTGGACGCTCTCATCGTACGCAAGATCCCCTTACCAGCCTGCAGAGGGCCACACAAATAAACTGTAAACTAGTCATGAAACAGAAATCTAGCATCATGATCACAGGGCTCTCCAAACCCTACCCTCTCACTTTGGATTTAGTTGGCTTAGATATTATTTATTTTATGACTGCTGTGTGACATAATGTGAGCGGCAGATAAAAGAACGGCTGCAGTAAGGGCAGTCAGAGGTGGGAAAAGTACTCAGATCTTGTACTCAAGTACTAGAGTGTAGGAATACTCTGTTACAGTAAAAGTCCTGCATTCAAAATGTTACTCAAGTAAAAATACGTATTATCATCAAGATATAGTTAAAGTAGCAACAGTAAAAGTAGTCATTGTGCAGATTGGTCCATTTCAGAATAATATATATGATATGTTTTATAATGGGAGGCGTGTGGTGCAGGTTCAAACCCCACTGCAGTCAGCATGTCGTTGTGTCCCTGAGACACTTCACTCCAAATTGCTCCTGTGGGGATTGCCCACAGTATTGAGTATGTAAGTCGCTTTGGATAAAAGCGTCTAACAAGTGACATTTAATGTAATCTAATGTAAGAATGATTGATCATGAAAGTGTGGTAAAGGTGCAGCTAGTTTGAATGACTTTGTATACTGCAGGGTAGCTTGTGAATTTACTCCAGGTGGAACTAAAGTCTGATTTAACACTTG